GGTATCCTCGTCCGTTTCTAGGAGGAGACGAGAGACTTGCTCCGCTCTGCTCCGTACGTCGACGGTGACCCTGCCTGCTCCTGTTCCGTCGGCTGCCCCGTTGCTCTTGCTTTGTGGCCTGCTCCTCCGTCGATGATCACCCCGGGCTGCTCCTTCCCCTGCTCCACCACAACGCCCAGCTGCTTCCTGCTGCTGCTTCTGCTCTACCGCCCGCTTCGCTTGACGGCGCGGGCACCGCCGCGCCCACGTTGGCAACCGGTCCCTCGACCGCCGCTACGCAAGGAGAAGCATCAGGCTCTGGCGTGGAAGCCCTCCAGCCTCGTCTCCTGCTATGGCTGCGGCGTCCCGATGCAGACGGCAAAGGAGGCCACACCGAGATACGATGCATGTTGCAAGTGTACATTTTAAACATTTCAGATGTTTTAGAGGTATGTTGTAAGTGTTTTATAGGGATGTTGCACATGTTGCAATGGGCTATACACGTATGTTTTAAGTGTATGTTTCAAATATTTTTCATTTGAATGTTGCAAAACTAGATTGGGATGTTGTATATATATGCAAGTGTTTCACGTGTTTTTATACGTACGTTGCAAGTGTTTTATCTTGATGTTTGCATATGTTTACAATGGCTACACATGTGTTTTTAAGTTTTTTCTGGTGTTTTGCAAGTGTTTTAAACGTATGTTGCAATTGTTTTAGCTATTTCGAACATATGTTGCAAGTGTTTCATTTAGTTTTTATAAAAGTAGATCAGCTGTTGCCATGCGCGTAAGAGAAGCGGAGGGGCGCGAACAGTCCATGCGCACGGTCTGGTGACGCGGGCATCGTCTGGGCGGCGCGGGCCTTTGTGAGCGCGCGAAATGCGGGCTCGGATGTGCTGGCCTGAGCGTGGAAAAAGGTGTCCGGACGCTAGCGCTGCCGATTATGATATAGGGTGCAGGACTAGAGAGTGCAGACCGACAACGCACGGTGTGATGCATGCATGCACTGATGCCGAATGGAGACACTTGTGAGCGCGCCGAATCGGTTCTGAAGACATTCGTTGGCATTCGGATGTGCTGGCCTGAGCGTGGAAAACGGTAGTGCAATGCAGGTGTCCGGACGCTAGCGCTGCCGAGTATGATATAGGGTGCAGGACTAGAGAGTGCAGACCGACAACGCACGGTGTGATGCATGCATGCACTGATGCCGAATGGAGACACTTGTGAGCGCGCCGAATCGGTTCTGAAGACATTCGTTGGCATTCGTTGGCAGTGGCACGGTGCAGGTGCGCTTAAAGCCTGAAACTTTGGCTTTTGTTGAGGCTTCAGAGTTCAGGCTTTCAGGTGCTTGCTACACGCGCTTGTCCACCCTCTCCTCGAGTTTTCCCCTCCCTGTAGACGATCGTAGTCTTTCTTGTTTCTTCTACAAGGCCGCAGCAGGCATGTGAGTGTGACTGTGAGCCTGCGAGGCAGATACCCTAGCAGCGCCTAGCTGCCATTATCATGCATGTTGACATGTTCTCATTGAAAGACAACTTCGAGAGTTCAACGATAGGTTCGAAGATGTAAACACAGATTTGTTTCTTAGGGCAGATGCTAATTAGAAGAATTAAATATGAACTAATTATAAAACTAATTTCGTATATAGAGATTAATTTACGAGACGAATTTATATTAAGCTTAATTAATCTATCATTAGCACATGTTTACTATAGCACCATATTATCAAATCATTGACTAATTATGTTTAATAGATTCGTCTTGCAAATTAGTCTCTATCTATGCAATTAGTTTTATAATTAGTCTATGTTTAATACTCGTAATTAATATCCAAACATATGATGTGACAGGGACTAAAGTTTAGTCAGTGGAACCAAACACCCCAGCATATCATCATTATATTTGATCCTGCTGATTTATTTGCTGCTTATGACAAAGTCAATTTGGTTAAGCTTGCTCGATCAATTTGTCCTAATGATTTCTCAACAAGAGAGTTAGACCATCTCCCTTGTCAACTTCAATTCTTTTATTAAAGATGTGCTTATCATCAACTTGAACTCTTTACTACTGATGTGCGTCGAGATGAAAATTTAGAAAACTGAAGAGTTGCTGAGCTTTCGTTTTGCGTGTTGAAACAAAGAAGCACACCAAACATGAGACTATGTGTAGGCTTCATAAGTTGGTGCTAGTACTTCCTGTAGCAACGGCTAGTGTTGAGAGTGTTTTCAATAATGAATTTTGTAAAGAATAAGTTGAAAAATAGGATGTGAGACCAATACTTGAATGATTGATGGGTCACACTTATTGAGTGTGAGTTTTTTTTGGAAGTCAAGGATTTTCACATCATCAATCGCTATCAAGCCATGAGGGACTATGAAGTACTTTATTTATGAAGTATTTTTTTAGAAAGAATCAGGCAGGAGAAGCTATCGATTATATTAAAAAGAAGCATTGCAACAATAATTAGATTATGCATTGCAACAAAGCAACAACAATAGACAACAATAACGAAGACAACAAAGCTAAACTAACACCTGTAAAGCAACTATCTCAAACTATCGATAGCAATCGGTAGGACCAAGACCTCAACACGTGCCGCACAACATTGTCGCAACAATGCTCCACTCAAGCAAAGCAACAAGGGCAATATATAGCTAGTCAGCTACCACCAATCCACAAGTACCGCACCCGCGCTCCTCTAGTCACCACAAAGCACCACCATCAGTGGATGGCAAAGCCATCATGTCGACGCGCCATCTGTTACCAACGATGTCCCACACTGAGCTGGTCATTGTCATGCAGGCTAACCGCTGCAGGACGCTGCAAGCAGCCATGCCATCGCCTCCGCTTGCACCGCTTGTCGACGCTGCCCCGCACTGGACTAATCCATGCCATGCATGCAGGGCTAGCCACTGCAATCCATTGCAACCTATCAAGCCGATACGTGTGTAGCTTCCTCTGGCCATTGCCAAGCTGACCACATCATCAATCCAACCGTCTGCCGCTCACAACGGGACTCTTAGCAATCGGGCCGCCTTATTGTAGAAAGCAGAAGAGTCCCTAGGTCCTCCAGTTGCCATTAAAGAGCTTCCTTGCGATGTGGCCACCATCTCTAAGTGGGACACACGATCACTTTCCCAAAGCACTTTTGCTGGCCACCTCCTCCCACACCGGCTTCCTTGACAACTTTGCGATCACAACTGGCGCATGGCCTTGCAGACCACCATGAGCAACGATGGGGATGATGGTGGGGCATTGCTAGGATGCTACAAAAAAAATTAAGTTGTGTATCCTGTTTTGTTTTTTTAGAAAGCTAGTATAGCAAACTATTAGAGGGAAATATAAATTGAGGTTGCTACTTATTTTATTAACTTGCAAAAGTCATTAAGTTAGCAAGTAAATTATATAAAGCTTCTGAAGATGTTCTTAGTTGCCAATTTGTCTCACCTAAGGTATTATAGAAGTTGGACCATAGAACCACCCTCATTGATTTGAGAAAGAGTAAAGTTCCATTCACACTAAGCTAGTCGCTGAATTAGGAAACCCTCTCAAACTTCAGTATCGGGAACAAACACACATTAACTTTCAAACCGAACGAAATATCCCCCTATTTTAAAGTCCACCTATCAGATGGGCTCTCTTATATAAAAAATCATAACTTTTTCACATGAAGCCATACCAATACAAACTTTTATATCAACATTGTAGAGATTTACACGATCTACAACCTTTTCATGAATGCAAACTTTCATAACAAAGTTGTAGAAATCAATCTCTATAATTTTTATATTAAGTTTGTGTTCATACGATTTCATACAAAAAAAGTTGTGATGTTTTTAAATAAGAGAAAGAGAGAAACATCTTATAGGTGGGCCCACTGCAATATCAACAAAACCATCCAAAAAACCACTTTGAAATGGAGAGGTATTTTGTCCGGTTTTGAAAATTAAGGTATGTTTGTTGTTCAGTATTGAAGGTTGAGGAGGTTTTCAAATTTAGTGACTAGTTCAGAGGAGTGATCGGACTTTAGTCTTTGAGACAAGAACAATAGCCATCAACCAGTTAAAAACAGGGGACTTGGGGTGTTTGGTTTGTTGGATCCTCATATCACTTCTCTATTTTTGTTTGGTCCGAAGAATGTAATGGGTTAATCCAGCTAGTATAATAGTCCATATACAGGTTTGGCCTAAGGTAAACTTTTTTGACATTTAACTATTAGTTTCTGAAGTTCTATATAGATTGGTAACACAAGATTGGAACAGCTAGATTTCATTATGAAGAGTAATTTTTTATATAATATAAAATTTTCTAAATTTAAGATAGATAATAGAGAATAATGTATTTTTATGGATACGTCACTAGTCAGTATATTACGCCTGCATCAATGTCCTAATTAATAGACTTAACTCATTCAGGGTACAAGATCTTCATTGAACGGGAAATTTGTGGAAGGGTTGATCTATTCATCATCACTTCGTTCCTTATATAACAATAATTCTCTCCATTGAAGGGCGGGGCCTCTTGGGAGGCGAAGTGCAGCTACAACATCGATCTTCAGGGTGAACAAAGTAGTACGAGAGTTTCTGCATTCTATCAACTGCACAAACAGATAGACTAAAGAGCAAGGCCTAGCCCGCGGCCATCTTCTTCAGGCTACAGCAACACAATTTTGTAGTGTAGTAACTACATCATGTATATCAACAGTCAAAAAGCTGCTGGTATAATAATATATTGAATGAGAATTTTTGCAGAAAGTATTATTATTCATCCGAATAATTAAACAAGTTCTCTAGACATTTTGTTCATCCATACAAAACATTGCACGGATTTCATCCACACAAACATTATTATATTACTACTTAACGGAAGCCGAGCTGGCTGGACCTGAAGCAGCAGATGATCAGTCAATAGTATCCCTCAAGCCTGATGAAGGGCCTCCGATCCATCTTGGCAAATTAATTTAATGGTGATTTTATTTCCAGACAGACTGAACACATGCATTCCTTTATCTAAAAAAAATTACTGATCAGCTAGAGGTCTTGGACAGAAACGCGGAGGGTACAATCTGGAGCGCTCCTCTGGCGTCTGATCACCAAATCTGTTGAGTCCCTGGGTCCAAGGCTTGCCAGACTTGTTGAACTCGTGGATGCTGCGCGCCCTGTCCTTGAAAAGAGAGAAGCGCCGGAGCATGTCCTGGTGGTCGCGCTTCACGCCGTGGAAGACGCACCACCGCTCGTACATCGCCCACATGGTTTCTTCCGACTCGAGGTCCTTCTCGCCGTATGCGAAGCACGTTTCCGGATCATCTATCATGCATCAGTAGGGCGATCAGTTTTCGGATCGATGACGTGACGATCTCGTCACTAGTCTAGGACATTGTTCTTCAACTCGAAGCAAATTGAAAAGAAAATTTGACTTGCGAGAGATTGAAAGGCAGCTCCACTCCAGATTGAATATCGATTAGGTTACCTGGAGCTTCAGGGTCAAAGATATCGAGGGAGACCTCGGCTCCGGGTGAGTGATCGCCTTCGCCGGGGATAACAGCGAGGCCGCGCCGCAGGACGTGTGGGCCCGATGGGGCGTTTGGCAGCAGCGGCCGCGTAAATGTTAGCCCACGATCATCGGCTCAGGTGTGTCGACCACTCATCAGTCTTGCCGACCACGATCGACCATGACAGAGGTTATCCGACCACACACTATGGCTAGAGGTAGAAGAAGAGGAAGAAAAGAGCATACACACACAGTACCAGCGCCAGCGTTGGCCGAAGCCCTGTATAGGAGATAACAAAACTGAACTCTCTTTGTTGAGTTGCAGTGGCAAACTATATATACAACTCTACTCATCTAGTCCTAGTACAGCTGTCCTGCTGCAACAGTGACTAGATAACACAGCAGGACTGACTTCTGCGCCTGTCCCTACACGTGGCTACAGTACGGCAGGTGAGCCGTGAAAGGTCCTTGTTGGTTTTGGTAATTGAGTGACAACCTAGGTGGACTAATTGTGTTTATGTGAGATACACAAGTGATTAGTCCACAGGTACATGTGTATGAGCAACATATGCCATGGAGGTGAAAATGGCTTGGAGATGTTGCAAAGCTCACACATTTGATGATGAAGGAGCTTATTGCACAAGAGACATGACATTGAGTCATGTGATCAAGATGGAGAAGATCAAGACAAGACTTGGCTTGATGGACCGGTTGCAAGCGTGAAGGGCAAGTCAAAGGCTTTGGAGTGATGGACCGCGTGGCGGTGAAGCTTGAGCAAGACTTGGCGCCGATGGACGATAGCAACGGTGAAGAGCAAGTAGAGTCAAGATCGATGAACCAATATGATCATGTGATGATATGAAGTGGATCATATCATTGTTGATCGTGTTGGTGCATGTGTTGCATCAACATTGGAGGAGATGGAATGGAATGCGCAAGGCAAAGGTATAACCTAGGGCATTTCATTTCACCGGTCATAGGTGTGTAGAGAAGTTTATGACCGGGTTTAGGATAGATGGCCGTACTATCAAGAGGGGCAAACTTGTTTGCATATCGGTCATCTAGTGCCACTCGAGTGATCTAACTTTGCATTGTCGCTAGGATCGAGTGGCGTGGCAAGTTGAGTGGCTAACATCCTTTGGAAAATGTTTGTGAAAATGCTAACACACATACACATGGTGGTGTACACTTGGTGGTGTTGGCACATTTACAAAGGAGGTGGTGTTTGCAGGGGTGAGATGGGTTTGGGTCCCTCTCTCCCTCCCGCCGAGCTTGCTCGGTGGGATTCGGCGCTTTCGGGAAAATAGAATGCCTATTTTCTATTGCGCCAGATGCAAGTTCTTGTGGTTAGCACATTGGAGCAAGGGTGATGAAGTTAGAAGTGAAAACGAGTTAGTCGCGAAGATGCTGGCGTCGGTCAACTGACCGGACGCTGGATCTGAATGCACCGGACGCTGGCAGGCTGCGTCCGGTCAGGCTGACGTACGATGACGCAGAAGCTGGAGTGTGACCGGACGCTGGCTGCGTCCGATCAAGTGTGACCGGACGCGTCCGGTCAAGGTCGGTACCTTACTGGAAACGACCGGACGCTGGGGGTTCAGCGTCCGGTCAGTTGAAGCTGCTGCGTCCGGTCAAGTCAAGTGACCGTTGGAATTAGGACACGTGGCCGTCTGCGGGCGACCGGACGCTGAGGTCCAGCGTCCGGTCAACACGACCGGAGCGTCCGGTCGGCCCGACCGTTGCCCAGTGAAGGGGTAACGGCTAGTTTAGCCCTTGGGGCTATAAATAGAAGTGGCCCTCGGCCATGGCTGGGGTAGAGCACCTCAAGGGACTTAGTGTCCATGCTTGTGAGTGCTTGGGAGCCCTCCATCACACATATACTTGATAGTGATCATTCGATTGTGTGAGTGAGCGATTCTAGTGCAATTGCATCGTGAGGTTGCATCGAGTGGCACTAGGTGATCGAGTTGCGAGCCGGTGGTGCTTGTTACTCTTGGAGGTTGTCACCTCCTAGACGGCTTGGTGGTGGTCTCCATCGAAGCGCGCAAGAAGCTTGTGCGGCGCTCCTGTGCTTGTGAGGGGCATTGTGCTCGCCCCGCGGGAGTCGCGAAGAGCAACCTTAGTAAAGCGTGTCATTGAGCTACCCTCACTCAAGGGGTAGGTTCTTGCGGTGCCCGACGTGCGGGCTTAGCGGGTGATGCTAATTAGCCGCCGAACCACCAAGTGAGCGGTCGACACAACAGGGACTAGCGTGTTGGCAAACACGTGAACCTCGGGAGAAAAATCATCGTGTCAACCTTGTTCTTCCCGTTGGTTTGCATCCCCATTACACAAGCTTGCAATTACTTATATATATATCTTAAGCTTGTGTAGTTGCTCTTGTAATTAGCTAGCTTGTGTAGCTAGCTAATTACCTTCTTGCTTGTGTAGCATAGAAGTAGCTTCCTTGCGTGGCTAATTTGGTTTTAGTAACCTTGTTAGTCACATTGCTTAGTTTGTGTAGCTAAGTATTTGCGCTCTCTAATTAGGCGTTGGTTGCCTTGTTATTGAGCATTGCTAGTGAGCTTAGTTAGCTTTGTGCTTTTGCTTACTAGCATGTGTAGGAGCTCCCTTGTTACTTAAAGTACTAGTGGCATAGGTTTGTGTGACCTTGCTCCTAGAATTGTTTAGGAGAGCTCTAGCTAGCCCGGCACCTTAGTTGCTTTATTAGTATCTTTGCAAGGTGCTAGTGAACATATATAGAGGGGTGTAGTCTTGGCTAGACCGATTGTTTTAATTCCGCATTTATATCGGTTAGCCGACACGATTAATTTTAGAAAAGACTATTCACCCCCCCTCTAGTCCGCCATCTCGACCCTTCAATTGGTATCAGAGCCCGGTCTCTCATTTGTGGTCTTCACCGACCCGAGAGGATGGCGCCTAATGGGCTAGATGGTTGTGAGAATCACATTTTTAATGGCACTAATTTTGCACTTTGGAAAAATCATATGCTTGATCATTTTCGTAGAACTCTAAGCAAAGCTCAAAGAGTCCTCTATGAATTTGATGCACGTGCTTGTTGTTTTCTATTGGATGCTTTACATTTTGATTTGATGAAGCAAGTAAACTACAAGGGGACCGCTCGTGAGATATGGGACTCCATCAAGGACACCTTCGGTGATTCCTCCACATGGGATGATGGTAAATTCAAGAAGGAGGATGAGCCCAAGAAGGAGGCACATGAGTGTGTTGAGCATAACCACAATTTGGTGATTGTGGAAGATTGCTCCACCTCATGGTCAAGTGATGATGATGATAGATCAACTACAAGTTCACTTGACAAGGTTGATGATGATGCCACAAGTGTTGCAAGTGATGATGCTACCCCATGCACACTTGATGGTGATGATGGTTCATGCTCAAGCCATGATGATGCTACTACAAGCCCATCCACTTCACCACATTGTCTCATGTCACAAGGTGACACCAAGGTATCAAATGGTAATGTGGTTGATCATGTTGAGTCATATGATGAGCTTGTTAGTAGACTTGCTAGCATGACCATGTCTTTAGAAAATGAGAAAGCTAAAACATTGAAATTAGAAAATGAAAACTCATTTCTAAAGAACTCTTGTGAAGAACATAAGAAATTACTTAATGCTTATAAATCTTCACTTAATGAGCTTAAATTGAATCATGAGACACTTCTTGCATCTCATGATGAATTATTAGAAAAACAAGCTTCTCTCATTAAAGTGTTTACAAAGAAACTTAAAAATAATGAGAACTCATCACCTGGGTCAAAAGATCAATTGCAAAATGTTGCTAAACCTTTTGATGTAGAAAAGAAGCATGTATCCACCTCTTGTGATGATTTATTAGATGTGCCATGCTCTTCACATATAGATGCTTGTTCTACTTCTATGTCTTGTATGACTAACATTTTGAAAGAGAATAATGAGCTCAAAAATAAAGTGAAGAAATTGAGAAATAAGTTAGAGAGGTGCTACAACTCAAAAGTCACCTTTGAGCACATATTGAAGACTCAAAGAATCTATGGTGACAAGTGTGGCCTTGGCTTCGAGAAGAAGATGACAAAGGGCGAAAGAAAGAGAGAAAGAAAGATGAAGAAGATTCAACAAAGAAAACTCTCTCACACCATGTGCTACCGGTGTCATGAAGCGGGACACCTTGCAAATGGTTGCCCTAACACTGAGAAGCTCAAGATGATGAAAGAAGAAGAGAGGCTAAGGCATGTTAAGTGCTTCAAGTGCCGCACTTAGGGTCATCTTACCTCAATGTGCCCAACCAAGCAATTGGTGAAGCAACAAGAGAAGCCTCAACCAAAGCCACAAGTTGAGCAAGAGAAGACACCCCAAGTTCAAATCAAGATCAACCATGAAGATGGTGGTGACTTGATGATAAAGAAGAAGAAAACAAGAAGGGGTGGAAAGTCAAGGCATCCAATGCAAATTCAATATGCAAAGATGATGAGCAAGAATGACAATGAGAAGAAAGTCTATGCTCACATCAAGTGCTTCAAGTGTGGAAGTACGGGACACTTTGCCTCTAAGTGTCCTAACAAGCTTGAGAAGAAGGCTCAAGCAATCCATGAGAGGCAAGGCAATGAGAAGCACCACATGAGCAAAGAAGAGAAGGCTCAAGCAAAGAGAAAGTGCTACTCATGCCGGAAAAGGGGACACATGGCACATTCATGTCCCCTAGGTAAAATTTCTAAGACTATTTCAATTGATGATCATGATATGCTTAGAAAGGATGGC